CTCTCTCTCTCTCTCTCTCTCTCTCTCTCTCTCACACACACACACACACACACACACACACACACACACACACACACACACACACCCGCGCGCGCGTGTGCGCACAATCATTTTTATGTACGCATGAATGTTTTCTTCTTTGTTCTTGTACGTCTGTCTTTCCCCTTTTTTTCCTAAGTACCAAGCGAGCACCCCTAAGCAGTGCTAAACAGTAGGTAGTTCCTTGTTTGGAGTGCCCACTGCACTGCTTGGGAGCCCGCTTGGTTCATGATGTCTGTGATACCTGCGTATAGGTGTGGATAGATGTTTGTCGGAGTGACTCCCTGACTCAGAAGGTGGTGGGAACCAACCGTCTAAGGGATTTTACTTGTGGTGTGGTAGGTGATGGATTGCTTTGGTCCATGTTGGATGTGTGGACTGCCTTGTCTACACTTCTCCGCTGTCTTGCTGTCACCCCCTTGTCATGCACCTGCCCACTTCACTGTGATGTGGCCTTGCTGCTTGTCCGCTTGCGCTTGGGTTCCTTGCAGTAGACTTTGACACTTTGGACATGGGCTGCCCCAGTAGCATTGCCTGGTGCTTTGCTGAGCTGCTGTGCTGCCGCTATGTCCAGTTTGTGGGCTGTCCGACAGCACTTTCAACAAGGGTCAAAGCGTTAATGACCAAAAGCACCAATATGGGGATTCCACAGATTGTCGAGGGTTCAGCCTCCTGATGAGTCAGTGGAAGTCCGACGGAACAATCTGTCATCAGCTTTTGTTTGTTTTGTTTTTTGCTTTTTGTACTAGTACTTTCTTTTCTCCTTGTCTTGTGCGCTTATGTATGGTCTGCCCTCCCGCCTCCCCCATGCCCTCCAGCCTGTGTTTTGGACTTTGGAAAGCTGGTGATGCCAAGCCACGACTGTATGAGGCAGCTTCGTGAGAAGTAGAGCGGCAGCATACAGTGTCAGTTTGGTATGGCCAGGTGTACCATAATGGTATGGGGTGCATGGTGGATGCGCCATGGGATATGCTGGAACACACACAATTGAGGGGTTCCCCGCCCCCCCAACAGCAACCGTTGTAGGGTTGATTCTCACAGCTGCACTTCAGACCCTGTTCAAGCCAAACGGCATGATGCTCAAATGCCGTGGTAAGTCCGCCCCAAAATCTGAAAAAACTTCAAAAACTGTAAGAGACATGTTGAATGGCGTACTGACTTCAGATGCGACCCTGCTCTGATCATCTGTTGTGATTGGTTTCCTGTGTCCCGTATAATATGGCTATGCATGTATGTATTGGTGTCCCACTTTGTATGTGTGTGTCTATGGGGTACAGGCCAGATGGCCTGGTGCCCCTAGGCACTAGTCCATCTGGCCTTCCTCATGGAGGGACACTGGGCAGGTCACACACGCACACACACACACACACATGAATATGGTTTTATGTCACATATCTATGAACTAAAAGAGAGCACTTTGCAAAACAAACGATTGAAAAAAAAAAAGAAAAAAAAAAAGAAAAAAAAAAAGACAAAGATGAAAGGCACACTAAAACTGTTCATTTTTCTCCCCCTTAACTGTGCCTCTCACGTACAAGGCTCGACACGTTGATGAAGTTGAGTGTGAGCTGCCCGCACCCTTGTGTGCCATCATGGCCCACTTGTACACTGTGAGAAAGAGGCAGAGTAAAAGGGAGGGGGATAAACACAGAGAAGCAAGTTGGAGAGACGACAAAATCAGAGTAATAGGATGTGGCCAAAAGTGATATTCCAAATCTACTCATCCGTGCCAAATATGCGGATTCCTTTCGGCTGTTGTTCATAACCTGCAACTCCTTTGGGTGCTGTTTTCTGCAGATCGGATCTCACACAGGGTTACCAACAATAGTCACGTGTCCGTATTCACTTCATTGAAGTTCATTCCCCATTTCCTACTCTAATCCCGAACCTCCCTCTATACAATGACTATGCCCTACGCAAAATCGGAGTAATGGGTTATGGGCCTTATGGCCAAAAGTGATATTCCTGGAACGGTTTCACCCAGTTGACCTTGTACTGCAGTCACAGAGATTCGATCCCTAGACCTGTGCCCTAACCCTGTACATTGACCCTGTGTGCTGAGTGAGATTCGATCCCTAGACCTATCCTGTACCTGTACATAGACCCCGTGACCGGAGTAGGAGTCGATCCCCAAACCTGTCCTACGACTTAGGTTAGTCTGTAGTTTGGTCAGTAGGACTTGATCCCTAGGTCTGTAGATTAGCAGCTAGGTCTGTTACCAATAGGCCTAGAAAGCCTGTTCTAGAAGTCTCTACTGAGTCTGTCGAAAGCCTGTAGAGTCTGTAGGTTCCAGAAGTCCGTAGGGTTCTGTAGGGGGGGTCCAACCAGCATGTACCTGGGTAAGGGCTGCACGTGGGGAAGGTTCTGGAGCATGCAGAGAGTTCCACACGTTTTGGCCCAGAAGGCCAAACGTCTGGAAGCTTCCCTGGGCCACACGTTTTGGCCCAGGCCCACAGGTCTGGAGGCAGGGTCCGGGTACCTCCGAAGAAGTATAAATGAACAGGCAGCGTCCAGCCATTCACTCATTCGCCTGTGAGCCCTGCGGAAGAGCTGCCTTGGTGTCTTGTGCATGGAGGTCTGCAGGTGCCTGGAGACGAAGTGGGCAGTGAAGAAGACAGCGGCCATAGCTGGCCAGTGGGGTAGATGTCGGCGGCCATAGCCAGCAGGAGGAAGACGACGACGGCCATGGTCGCCCAGCTGTTGGTGAAGACAAGTGTTCAGAGTGTGTGAGGCTGTGCTGAGTGGGGACATTCAGGGTGATCCTTGTACGTGCACGCATGAGACAGTGAGGGAGAGAGTGAGGCTGGTGGTAGAGACCGTGTTCGGCGGCCATAGCCGCAAGTTGTGCAGCTGTTAAGATTGAGTTTAAGACAAGTTCATTGTTGTTTTTTTGAGTTGAAAGAGTTCAGTCTTGCCATCAGTTCTCAAGTGTGCATGTTGTGCGCAAGTCCAGAGTTGAGTCTGATTGCATTCCAAATCAACATTGCCATTCAGGACTTGGAGTTCGACCCAGTTGAATGGGGCTGGCAACCGAAGAAAGGTAAAAGGACGAACCAGACTGTACCGATATCGGATTACACAGTCAAATTAGGCTACGAGATGTTGCTGAGACACAAGACCCAGATCCGACAATTAGACGCAGAAGGTCAAGGTTGTTAGGGGAAGAAGCAAACCAAATCCCTGAAATGCCATGGACAAAATTGAAAACAATACGCCCAGTCAAAGTAAGAAGCCTCCAATGGCTAATCAGTGATCACATACGTAGCCCTACCGGTCAACCAATGGCTACATAGCAGAAGAAAGAATAAAGAACCCAACAGCTCTGGTCTATGCCTAGTCTGCTCAGACCAAGAACAAGAAGACCTAATGTGCTGTTTAATCAGATGTAAAGAAGCAACAGAATTATGGGCAAGGGCATCGGATCTATTGGACCACCTCTTCTCGTCTTCCTTCCCGGAAAACCCCATTCAACTCCTCCTATGGACTAACATCCCTCCCCACCTCTCCAAGCCAGAAACGTTGTGGTTTGGAATGATTACTAAGCCACGTTATGGGCAATCTGGAAGGAGAGGTGCTGCAGGACTCTGGACAACACTTAAAATGCAACTGACAAAGTATGGGCTGCTATAAACGTCATGATGGAAGCAGAAGTTCTCTGCAAATGGAGGAAGGTCAAGGAGACTGTCCAGAGCTATCCAGACACAGGCCAGTTACACCTGACAAAGTTCAAAAGAACTTGGCTAGCGCAGGGCAAGGTGGCAGACATTAATGACATGCGACTTAAGTTCAAAGACTGGCACACTTCAGAGAATCCATTACCGAGACAGGACATCCAGACAGAAAGGTCTCAGAGCCCAGCAAGATCGTGACGCGCTGATGGAAGGAGGGTTGCCCTCTTATGATTCTTGATGTGAATTGCCAGAACTGACAGACCCACACAAAGGACCTTAGAGGAATACATGAGAAGGGCAAGCTGACAGTCAATCCTCCTGTAACAGGGAACAATCAATGCCGGTCAGGGATCCTTCAGCCAAATGGAAGGATGTGCGAAGGTGTATATGCTCTATCCGGTTTTATTGACTTGCCAGGGGAATAGGAACCGGACTGACGCATCCTTCGGGACATCCATTAAAATTGGAACGATACAGAGAAGATTAGCAGGAATGGGGTAGGGCTAAAGGAAAGAGAGGAAAACTTCTCCTTTTGATTGGCATCCCTTAGTGGCCACGGAAAACAGAAAGGATCTGGTTTGAGTTCACCAGAAAGACCTCCCTTGGGTCATATGGAAGGAAAGATGCAGCGGAACGATTGAGGAGGCTGCAAGCGCACGGGAGAGAGTCTGGGTGGAGACAAAGGTTCTGATACAGGCAGAAATTCTATACAGATGGAAGAAGATCAAGAAAACAGGGATAGACGACGAAGAGCAGCGGAAGAAGGCTAGAGACAAGTTCATCAAGACATGGTTGGCAGGGGGGAGGGTTGCTGAGTTGAGGAATGATCCTATCTGGAGGAAGGAGTGGCACAACTCCATTCCAAGAAGAAATCTGGAACAGCAAAGCACGGTATCAGAGAGTGGAACCCTCGTTTCAGTTTCTAACGGAGACAGTTCTGCTTTCGGGACACTACTCTTGATGCACATCGGTGGGGACCAGGATGCAAGCTGGCAACGCAGGCGAACAAGGGAAGTAGGAGTCAAAGCACAGAGTCCCGGAGCAGTGAGGAAGGCGATCCTTGAATGGGAATGGTATATCGGGGTGCAGTTAAGAAGGACGAGGGTTTAGGGTTCAGGGTTTAATGGTTGCTTAGGCAAAAAGGAAAAATAGGTGGAATGGGAAGGGCTCAGGTTGATGACCACAATAGAGGGACTCCTTCTAGGATTCAGCGATGAAATTTGGCAGACCTATTTGTCCGGTCTGAGAGGAAAGAGAGAGGATGGGCAAGCTGGCAGTCAATCCTCCACTGAGGTGGAGCAATCAATGCTGTCCAGGGGACCTTTGGCCAGACGGAAGGAAGCGTGAGTGAAAGTACTTGTTGTAATGTTTATATTGACTTGCCGGTGGAATAGGAACCGGACTGACGCTCCCCAGAATAGAAGGAGCCAGGACCGTAAGGCCCTGCACAAAAAAAAAAAAAAAAAGGAACCGGACTGACGCACCCTTCGGGACATCCATTAAAATTAGAACGATACAGAGAAGATTAGCATGGCCCCTGCACAAGAGAAAAAAAAAGGAACCAGACTGACGCTCCCAGAATGGATATGGAGCCAGGACCATTAGACCCTGTTTATTCAAAAAAAAAAAAGCTCTCTTGACTGATCCAAGTGAAAACATCCCGCTGTGATTGCTCTGAGTCAGCAATTGGCAAGCATTCCAGAAACACATGTTCCAGTTGATAAGACAATAACAACCTCTGGACTATCTGGAAATGGTGATGCCAAATCACCATCAAGACTGTCTCTTATACACATCTAGATGTGTATAAGAGACAGCCATTAGACCCTGTTTATTCAAAAAAAAAAAAGCTCTCTTGACTGATCCAAGTGAAAACATCCCGCTGTGATTGCTCTGAGTCAGCAATTGGCAAGCATTCCAGAAACACATGTTCCAGTTGATAAGACAATAACAACCTCTGGACTATCTGGAAATGGTGATGCCAAATCACCATCAAGAAGCGGCCAATGCACAGGCAGGAGGCAAAGGAGTTACTCCTCAACCTAATTGAAACTGACCTGCGAGCACAATGGAAGAGGGTGCAGAGTCAAATCCAGCAACACCCGGAACAGGCTCGGGAACTTAAGACTCGATTCATCCAAAAGGTGTTGGGGCAAGAGGTGGTAGCTAGTATTCAGGGAACAAATTTGATATTTAAATTTTAAATGGAGATTAGAAAGACCAGGAGAGAATTAGGCAGATAAAACGTAAGAAGGGAAGAAGGAGTGTATCAAGTAGGAAAGAAGGAAGAGAAAGTTAGGAGTGGTTTATTTAAATAGGATAGAAGAAGTAAGGGGTTGTAGAAAAGGGCATCTAGCAGGTAGAGGGGGTACAAAGGCAGGTTAGAAACAGCTAGAGGAATAGAGACTCTAAGGAATTTCAGGGCAGACAGGAGTCTGTCGCTAGGAGAGGCTCATAAGCTAAACTGGGTAACGCTCCCAGGATAACCCCGGGTCGAGTTGTGAGGTCCCCGGCCTCGTCTTATTTTGGAATATAAAGGGTTGAGTGCAGTGTTGCATACCCCGACGGTCGGCGCCCCTTGACTGGTTGGCTGTCGACCAGCTGACCGGTCAGCTGATCGGCACCTACCGGTCTGGGGTCGTCGACACCCCGCGAAAAAAAAAAAAAAAGACGAAGAAGTTAAAAAAACAGTCCACCAGCCAGGCCAATAACC